ATCTCCTCAACTGCAAATACGGCGTACAGACGATGTCAATACCAGAATTTGAACGGCAAGGCCAACCTTCATGACCCTGAAATCAGTTTGGATATCTTGTTCGCTCTTCGGCATAAAAAAACAAAATTCGAATTTTTAATGCCTATGTTCAGTCAGTCAGTTCTTTCATATGCTTCAAAAACTTGGTGTTGCCGTCATGGAAAGCATTTCCAACAGACCATTGGAAACTTTTATGAAAAGCTGCCTTCACGTTGAAGATAAAATAGCCAGTCGGCTGGCCAGAAAGAATTAGCAACAAGAATCTGTAGCTGGCGTCAAACCAATAAGCAAGAGTCGATTGCTCAGAAAATATGGAGGAGGGAATGGAGATGGATCGGCCATACGCTGAGGAGACCTCAGAGTGACATCATAAGCCAGGCCAGTTCTTGTGTGGAACCCGAAAATTCTTCTACCCCTACGGCAAATAGGAGATAATAAAGAAAACTGTAAAACTCAAGTTTTGAAGTCGTGTGACTGTAATTGATGTGATTATGAACGATAAATTGTGTTCGAAATGTCATCCAGTAATCAATAATACTGTTTCACTGACTGTGTATGATATACCTAATAAATAATAATATGCCCAAGTTTTACACATACATTAACCTTGACAGTTAGTTTAAGCCAACCATGTAGGGAGGTTGTAGACTCCCTGACTGGTTGGGGTCCTTGGGATGGTGAAAATTAGTGGTGATATGGCTCAAAATTGTCCTCAGTGATGCAGATACATTCACTCTGTGATTTGTCATATCCAATAAAACTCCTATTTGGTTCAGTTTTTTGAGGGAGTCGGTCATTAGTTTCTCCGCTCTTACATTCAGGTCTTTGGAAACACCGACAGATTGGAATTTAGTTTGATCACTCAAAATACCTTCCATTTTCTCAACATAATCGCTTTTGTCTAGTAAGACTATACTGTCTCCTTTATCCAGCTTGCTAATAATTAAGCTTTCGTTGCTTCTAAGTTCTCTTAGGGCTTCTCTGTGTTGTTTACATAACAGACTATTTACTGAATGTCTATTATTCTTGTATTGTTGGCAGCTGTCAACTAGCGTCGTTTTGAACCGAGTTAGTTCATCGTCCGATGATGGGGTAAGATCTGACGTTTGGGAATACAAATTTTCAAACTGTATATCCGTGTCTAATTGGTCAACTTTAGGAGCATAATCACTAAATTTGGGACCTAGGGATAACACCTCCAATTGAAACTTATTAAGCACGACACTGGAAAAATTGTGAACATACTGGCCCGGAACTGACGGAAATTTCCTTTCAAGATTTTGGCTTTTGAGTTATTTGACAAGACTTATTCTTTTATTATTATTATTACATATTCAATAAACATCAATTGTAATTCCTGAGGTAAATCATCAACTGAAAATTGTCTTTGTGATATGTTCCTTTCTAGATCATCTATAAGAGTTTTAACAAAATCATTGTGATTAAGAGCATGTCTTCTGTTTATCATCTCTCTTTACTCTCTTTTCTTGCATTGTGAGCTACAAGGAGGGGAGTATGGCAACTTAAACTGCTGCACGTCTGTGCAAAGTTCTATGTTGAAACCAGTCAGCAGAGATATGTATATGATAGGAATGAAAAACTTTGATGTACGTGTTCAGGAGTGCAGCTACTATCAAACACGGTTTTCATGAACATCATCCTTTCGACTATAGGCGCCCCAGTTAAGCATTTTGAAGCCACTAAGGAGTGGGAAAGCAAGAGAGGTGTGTTCATTACTTTTAAACCTGTGTGGATATGCTAATCACGTGGTATAAGGAATAAAATCCGAGTTTTTGACAATATTAGCAAGATAATGGTTCTATAGGTTCCAGAAACTTGTCAGGCGCGTCATCTAAAGCATTTCCAATAAGCTGTAGATAAACATTAAATACACTTCATTCGCTCGATATTGAAAATCAGACGGTCGGCCGGGAAGAATAGGTAACAAGGAACTCTGAGAGCGAGTCGGCTAACAGCATATTGCTCAAAAGATTTACAGAAGGAAATGAAGATGGATTGGACATACGCCAAGGACACTGACACTGAGTGACATCATACACCGGGCCAGTCGATATAGGTGCTGTAAGGTAACCTAAAGGGAAGAAGAAATGAAAGCTTGTAGGCAGTCATTTATCCATCCAGCTGACATTAATGGTAGAGGAGGACCTTTGTGGAATAGTGATGTGCTTTAGAAGTTGAATATTCCATTCGCTACTCCAAAGAACGAATAAAAATAATAATAATAATGAAACACTGTTAAATATGTTTCCTATTGTGTAGTTGGTGCCTCCTTAAATAGATCTGAAGGTTGTGAAGTCACTTTTTTAGTTTTGGTTTCTGAGCTCTAGTCGGAATCTTTGCATGATTATGAGACTTTAAATTTTCAATGTTTCACTAAAATAATTCAGTCAATTTACTCTTATTAAGTTTTTCTAGCTGTTTAGTTTCTGAAGAATCCAATTCATTTCAGTTTTGTCCTTTTAATTGTCGAATTACGGTTGTCAGACTTTTTTCAACCTAATTTGTGTTCTGCGTGTACATAGTACTTATTGATTCAAAGATTTCCAGGCGTATTTATGTGTTATTGCAGTTCACAAACATATACACATATACATCTGCGAATAATTGGCATACGATTCGCCCTCACCAGATGTAAGGTGTTGCTACAGGACTGGACTGGACTACATTAACTCCTGCCTTGGAAATAGGGAGTGAAGTGCTTTGTGGAGTGTCGACCACTTCACTTATTTGGTAAGTTGCATCAGCCTGTGCCGGCGCGTTGATCACTGACGAAATCTTAGAACGGATTCGGATACAGAAGTCTCGTTTCGCATATTCCAGTTTACGTTGTCTCTGACGTTGACGTGATATCCGGCTGGCTATCAACCGAAGGACGTATGTACTGCTCAGTGGTCCACTCCGTCCACCTTTATACCTGGCTATGAGTGAAGCATGGCCATTAAAACTGGAAGACATGAAAAGGCTGGCTAGCTGTCTTTGATCATAGGTGTCTCCGCACTATCTCCCATGGGAAGTGGTATAATAGAGTGAGCAATAATGAGGTTAGGCCTCGGTCGAGTGCTAGTTATGGAGGGGAGGGGAAATCAATCGACGAGGCTGTGAAGCTACATTGACTGAGATGGTTAGGACATGTGTTACATATGCCTAGCCATCGCCTCCCTCGACTACGGGCATTGTTAGCTGACTTAGGGTCAGGCTGGAAAAGAGCTAGCCAGTGGTGGTCAAACCAAAACATGGCTTCACCAGTCAATGAAATACACAACAGTTAGTTTAAGCCAGTCAGGTACTGAGGTGTAGACTTCCTGGTTGAGGTCCTCGGGACGGTAAACACTGTTGGCTGGAAACAACCGGTGATATAGCTGAAAATCGTTCTCAATGCATAGCGCAGATGCATCTACTCCTTGTGACTTATGATTTCCAATGAAACTATATTGTTCTTCGTTATTACTATTCTTTCTGCCTCATATCTCTGTTTACTGTTTCTATTTTGTGTTTCTTCTCTTGCTTTGAGTGTGGCGACTCGAACTGCTACACATCGGTACAAAGTAGTTCTACATTGAAACCAGTCAGTCATGTGTGTTAATGTATATATCATCAAAGCTCGTAGACCATTAAGCAGCCACTGGGACTTGATCCAATGACCAGTCCATGAATTCCAGCTTCCGCCAATCCATGATATGGCACGACTGCTAGTGAATGTCATTGCTGGCGAGTATTTACCGTTACGCCCGACCTGCTGTACCTCACTGTTCACGACATTAATATTTATATTTTAACGCAATTTTGGTAATTGCTTTAAGTCAAGAAATACTAACACAGTTATTTTCTCTCGGTAAAGAAACTTTCAGTAATCCATACCCGCTAGCCGCATAATAAAAGTACATCTCACACTCATTGAGCTACATGTAAAGGTTTTCAATATTAGCTGGTTGCTTAGATCGAATTAAATGAAGCGGAGTTATTGTGCGACACTCATCGGTTGGAAATCATCTACTGAAATCAGTGTGATACACCTTGACGCCAAATAGTACAGGACTGTTAGGTAGCGACATTATGCACCCACCATAAGATGATAGATAGCCTGTCACATAGTTCCGAATTCTTAAAGATGTGTGCTTCATAACTGTATATGGTGAGAACTATCATCGAAGGCACTAACTTCGTCACAAAAATCCGTCTAGTGTTTCGTATTTTATTTCCGGTGCGTTGGTGGCACAACGGTAGAATGAATGCTAGCCGATCACGCATGTATTTTGGCGTTCGATCCCCGGTCATCGACGCACTCCTTTACCTTGCTAAGTCGGTAATAAGACTAGTAAGAGGGAAGATTGGGCATGAGGATAGCAACCCTATCCCGTAAAAATAAACACTACTGCTACCAAAACTTCAAGCCTCTAGCTTGAAGGAAAAATTATAAATTTTGTTTCCCTCTTTTTATGGGTTCAACTGCTATCGTAGGTTTTCTGACTCTACTGTAACTTGGACTGATGCTTAGTTGTACATACATAAATGCCTTTGATTTTCTGCTGTTTCTTATGAAAGACGTTAAAAAGCAATGACTGGAGATGATATGGGTCAAAATTGTTTTCAGTTCCTCATTTACATTCACTTGTTATAGTTGCCATGAAGTCCATTAGATCCGCATATTTCTCCATGTACTTATTCTTTCTCTCATGCACTTCAATTCATTTTAATTCTTTTTGTTTCCTCTACCTTTGCGTGCTATACGGAGTATTATGGCGACTTGTGAATTGCTGCACTTCTGTGCAGTGTTCTACATCAGTCAATGGAGCATTTTTGTGTTTTTTTCTTTTCTGTTCTACGATTATCTCGTTTACTACTTTTAATTTGATGATTAAAATTTCATGAATAGTTTATTGTATTGATAATACGCCCATAAATTATCTTGTAATTTTCTTTTTTGTTTTCTGTTTTAATAGACGAAGTCGTTCTGGAGAGCGTCGAAGTGGTCGATCCAGACGTGATGACGATCGTTCACCAGGTAGAGTTTAGTACAAGAATTCCCTTTTTTTTAAATTCGACCAAAGAAAAAACAAGCATTGGTGCAGAATAACATTGGGTCCCAGTGGCTTAATGGCCCACGAGCTAGCTCGCCTTGTAACCAGAAGGTCCCGGGTTCGAACCCTGGTGGCGGGTGCGTACAGTTGAAGAGTCCCAAGCTAGGACAACGGAAACAGCTGACCAGTACTCCCTGCAGGTTTTCCAATGGTCCTCTAACGGATATCAGCTCATGATGAAATCCTGTAACCAATCAATCAACTCCCTACAATTATTATTATTATTATTATTATTATTATTATTATTTCCTTTAGTTCCTAGAGGAACATAGGGCTTCAGCCGTGCGTCTCGATTGCGTTCGGTTCTCTGCTAGAGTCTTCACCTGGCTCCAAGTCTGCCCACACGTTTTCATCTCCTCTTCACATGATCTCCTCCAGGTCACCCTTGGACGACCAACTCGCCGCTTCCCTTTCGGGTTCCACTCGAGCAATGGCTTGTCTAGTGATGTCACTTGCTGGTTTCCTCAGAGTGTGGCCAATCCATCTCCATTTCTTCCTGCCTATTTGTTTCACAATCGGTTCCTGGTTGGTTCGCTCCCAGAGATCTTTGTTGCTGATCTTTTCTGGCCGGCCATCTGATCTTGAGTATTGAGCGAAGACAACTGTTAATGAAGGTCTGTAGCTTGTTTGAGGTGCTCTTTGTGCCACGCCAAGTCTCTGATCCGTATAGTAGTACTGACTTCACATTGGAGTTGAAAATCCGGATCTTATTTTCCATGCTGATCAGTGCTGTTGACCTCCACACAGACTTGAGAGTAATGAAAGCTTGCCTTGCTTTTCCGATCCTTGCTTTGATATCCTCGTCAGTTCCGCCTGTAGTTGAAACAATGCTTCCCAAGTAGGTAAAGGAGGTAGTTTCTTTCATGTTCCTCCCATTTATGCTGATTGCTGTCTGTTGTTGTTGCTGTGGCTGTTGGTGTTGGCCAGGAATCTTCATCACCTCCGTTTTCTCTATGTTCACCTGAAGTCCTATCTTTGATGCTTCTTCTGCCAACTTGTTACTTTTCACTTGCATATCTTCCAGTTTGTGGGAAATCAGACATATATCATCGGCGAAGTCCAGATCCTCCAAGTTCTTTGTGTGAGTCCATTTTATGCCTGTTTCCTCATTGCCCGCTGTCTGACGCATTATCCAATCTACTGCAATCAGGCAAATCATTGGCGATAGTAGGCAGCCTTGTCTTACTCCTGTCTTCACTTCGAAGGATTCCATGAGTTTCCCGTTGTGGATTACTTGGCATGCAGCGTTGTCATACAACTCCCTACAAACCAATACTTAAAAAAGGATCGATCTTATTTCCGTGGTTCTCCTCATCAGCTGCATGCAACCTGTTGTTTTTAATAAGTAAAAGTCAGCGTAAAATTTAACCTACTTTCGTCTATCAACAGGTATGTTATAATAGTGCCATGGTGAGGTAGAACATCAGGACTACAAGGTAGCATAAGTGTAAGTATACACATACATGTATTTTGTTAGAAGGGAGTTTCCAGAAAATTAATTGACATGTTTTTTGTTAGGGTGATGGCAAAAAGTTAATAGAAATTACACCTTCCTATACCTGCTAATAGACGAAAGTAAGTTAAATTTTACTCTGGCTTTTATTCATTAAAAATGATAGGTTGCATACGGCTGATGAGGAGATCCAACGAAATAGAGTGAATCCATGTTATTCTGCACCAATGTTTGTTCTTTCTTTGCCCACCGGGTAATTTGTGTATATATTTCATTTCACTATGGATAACATTTTATTTTGATAAAATCACACACACCCACAGTGTGTTATACAGTAATATTTACTGATGCGACCACGTTTTGAGCACAAATTATTACTGCTCATAATCATACCAACGCAATACTCACATACCTTTCTCGCTTCATTTATATACGTGAGTAATAATTGATGATTAAACATTTGAATGAAATCAATGCAAGATAAAGTACATTCAGAAATAGTATTAGTGTTATCAATCATATACTATCAGATGGGAAATACGATGAGTGTTTTTATAGTAAAATAAATAAATGACTTGTTAGAATGTGAACTGAAAAATACGTTTTAACATTATTTATTGTCCTCCTCTGATTTGACTGGTGGTAGTAATATCTTCCATATCTCTGGCATTTGCGTTGAGTCAGTCTCTTTCTTCACCTACCTATATTAGTTCTTAGAATTTTGACTTTGTCCCATCCACCCCGTTGTGTGGTTGTGTGTTAATGCTTGCAGTACAGAGTAGTGCTTAGTCTTTTTTCTAAATTACTTATCTTCTTGGTGTCAACCATCCTTACCTTAGCTTAATTCTCATGTTCTTACAATCTGACTACCCCCGATCTACTAGTCTGACTGACCTATATAGTTGACTTAACTCACAGTCATTGCAAGGTATTTTGTAAATTATATTATTTTGTTTAATTGGGTCAGCCGACGGGATCCTTTTTGCCTGCAGAGCTTGTCTCAGAGGGAGTTCGTAGGTTCGAACGCCACCCTAATTCCTCCTTTATTGAGAATCCTAAGTAGGTCCTCAGATGTCCCCTCCCTCCTTATATTGTTAAGACTACTGTAGATGCCTTATATTCTCTCTTATTTATGTTATCATTATCAGTTCCACCATTATTTTTATTTTGCTTTTGTCCTTTTCTGATCATCCTAATGAATTTTATAGGATAGTCAGTTATTTAACACCAACGCTGCTTCTTTCTGTTTTATTTCATCATTTAGATCTTTTCTTCTACTACTTAGTGCTATA